CAATAGAAGCCTTTTTTACAGCCCCTGGTACTTACAATCCCGAAAAAGTCAATTTGGATAAAGGCCCCCAATATAGTTTAAGTGGAAAGCTTCCATATGATAAACCAGATAACACTCCAGGTCTGTAGTTGTTTAATTAAAATCAAAAAAATTGATCTGAACTTTGATAAAATTTTACAGAGGTTACAGAATATTTATCTTTTGAAAATTAATTTATGCTTATTTTGTTTTTGCTAATATATATAAATACAGAAAATCAATTTCCAGCACCAGGAACTTATGCTCCTGAGAAAGTAAATCTTGATAAATCACCACAATATAGCTTTGGTTTAAGAACATCCCTTGATAAACCAAATACGAATCCAGGTACAATCCCCATAATTCTTTTACTATTTCTGTTATCATTCCTTTTTTATTTATGCAAAAATTTACAAAGAAATTATTTTAATATTTTGTATTATTTTTCTACAGCACCTGGAGATTATTGCCCAGAAAAGGTGAACTTAAACAAAGGTCCAGAATATAGTTTGTATGGGAAAGGAATGCCAGAAAAGCCAAACGATAATCCAGGTGAATTTTTTTTATTTTCCTTCAACAGTATTGGTTTGTTATTTAATTTATTATTCTTTTAGATTAATGTCTTCTTGTATTTAAATTTTGTAATAGCACCAGGGGCATATAGTCCTGAGAAAGTAAATTTGGATAAGGGTCCTCAGTTCAGTTTATCTGGTAAAGGATTATCAGAAAAACCTAATGATAATCCAGGTGATTAAATTTTTAAATATCAATGTTTTTGTTTATTTGATGTTGGAAAAGATTATTAAAAAAATTGAATTGTAGAAGAGAAATTTTAATTTTCTACTTATTATCATAGCTCCTGGAACATACAGTCCAGAGAAGATAAATTTAGATAAAGGACCCCAATATAGTCTATCAGGAAAAGGCGTGTCAGAAAAACCCAACAACAATCCAGGTGAATTTATTTGGACCACTGTTGAAGCTTGTTACTTTTGGAAATTCAGTTGGTATAGGTTTAACATTCTGTAGAGACAACCACTAATGTTTTGATTGCTTCGGTAGGCCCTGCTGATTACTATCCAGAGAAAATAGTAAATTTGGAACATAAACCTTATTTCAGTTTTGGTAATAGAAAGCCCTTGGATAGGCCTAGGGATACACCAGGTAACGGTGTTGATTAACAAATTACTAACGACAGCTATTATGTAATTTAATATTCTAAAACGGATTCTAATGCAAAGCTTACATGTTTCTAATATATTAATGCAACTTTTTATTTTAAAGAATATTATAGCTTCTATTATTTTTACACTTTCTGTTTATAACTGCCATACTATGTTATTTATAAATCACTGACGAAATTTGCAATTATAAAATTACTGAGATTACTTTTTCAATAACTTATTACATGTTGTAATATCGTGTTATAAATTGCAATAGTTATACAAACAAATTTTTTTTTGTTACAACATTTTTTTAATTTTGTAGCACCTGGTACTTATTCCCCTGAAAAAGTCAATTTAGATAAGTCACCACAATACTCGTTTGGTTTAAAGACGTTTGTTGACAAATTCAATGATATACCTGGTGAGCAATATTCAGTACTATTTTTAGACTAGAGTATAAAAAACTTATGGAAGAATTTCCATAATAATGCTTAAAAGTTGTTTATTTCAATACATTCAAAACATAGCTCCTGGAAGTTACCATCCTGAGAAGGTAAATTTGAATAAGTCTCCTCGGTACAGTTTTGGAGTTAAGACTGAGGTACATGAAACAGACTCTATACCAGGTATGGTAAGGCTGTAAATTATTTGAAATTCTCTTTCTTCCTATGCATTTGCTGAATAGATTTACTATCTCGTTTAAAGGTCCAGGTGAATACAGTCCAGAGAAAGCTATGCTTTTATTGGAAAAAGCATTAAGATTTACTTTTGGTCTGAGGACAAGCTTAAACAGACCAAATGACATTCCAGGTAAACTTCCGAGAAATATAATTTCTTATTTATGCTTGTTTAATGTTTCTTTGCATTTTACTGCAATGCGTGTGTGTGAGAGAGTGAAGATGTGTATAGTCATAAAAACCATGTTTAATGTTTCAAGTAATGCATCCTTGTGGTACACATATGGTGCTTAACAGTAATGAAAAGTTTACTTATCTTTTGTAATTTTCCTTCTGTTTTAGCTCCAAACGTGTACAACATTCCTTCTGCCATCGGCGAAACAAAGGAAGGAAATAAGAAAACAGCGCCAGCTTACTCAATCTCGGGTAGACAGAAAGTTTTTGCAGATGATCGCGTTTTAGTTCCTGGACCTGGCACATACGAAGCTATTAAACCAGACGCAGTCAGAGTGAAAAGTCCTGCCTATAGTATAAGCGCTCGCTGTCAACTGCCCGACGATCATTCACAGATTCCAGGACCTGGAGCACACTGTCCAGAAAAAGTATGCCCAACTTCTTTGTAACACACTCAAAACATTAGAAAAGTTAAAAGTAAACAAAATTATTTTTCTATGATTTTTTTTTTAAATTACTTTTTACAGGTAGTTCTTGACATTCCGCCAGCACATTCATTTGGCATTAGACACTCGCCATACATATGCAACCTCAAGGACGTCGTTTATTAACATAAAAGCCTTGCGCGACTTGGTTTCCGTCATTATTCTATCTTGAGAGAATAAACTCCATATGATCAACATAACCATAACAATATTTTATTGTAAAATAGCAATTTTTTGTGTACGCAAATAATTTTTTAACGCTTCGCTAAAACGACAATAAAATATCGTTTACGGTAGAAAACTTTGGTACTGCTAACTATTTAGATATGTTATCAATTGATGGCACAAAAAAATATTTTTATGTGAAAAATGTCAATTACAATATTACTTACGCTAAAAATTTCATTTAGCAACATTTTATGACGTTAATACAAAGTGAAATAGTAGCAATTCTTGTTTTCACTTTTTAAATGTATACCATATTTATTTCTAACAACTGATGAAATAAATATTCTACGAACAAAATCTGTATTTTTTACATAAAATTGGATGTCGAAGGAATATTAAGGAAATTTCGTTATAAAAAAAGGAGATATTTGTAACAAAGTAACAATTTATTTATCGATGTATTGAAACTATTTGTTATTTAAAAATTCTACAATTATTAACATGGTAATTTAAATAACTGGCTTTCTTATACTGAATTAAAAAGGATAGTTACCAAGTTTTCATTTGATTTGTATGTCATCAATGACATAAGCACCTTCACATTCCGCTCTGTCAGTAATGATAAAAATTCATCATTATTCTATGCATATGAAAATACATGTTTGTAGAAACATTTGTATATAAAATATGTATACATACAATAGGAATACATGGATAAACATAATTATGGTTAGAGCAATCTTCACAGCCATTACATTAGAAAAATGTAATATTTGAGGCATTTAAAATACATATTTTTTTTATCTATCTTACATTTAAATATACACATTCTCCCGATATCCAAGTCGATAATAATTCTAAATTTTCATCTAACAATACGAAATCAGCATCTGCTCCGTAGTTCAAAACTCCTTTTTTTTTTTCGATGCCAAGAGTTTTTGCCGGATGAAGAGTTGCAGCTTCTAAAGCTTCTACTGTGGAACAAACTATGAAAAAAAGCTTATGAATATTTTAAATGTTATATAATAATTGAGTGCATAAGAAGTGTATAATAATGTTAAAATTACCTGTTGCCTCTTTGAAATAACGAACACACTTTGACATTTCCGCTGTACTACCGCATAGTGTTTCTGTTCCTGCGATGTAAGCACGTCCCATACGCATTTCTATCTTCAGTTGCCCTAATTGATGTACACCTTCTTCTAATCCCAATGCTGATAATGCATCAGTTACTAAAACGAGACCTAAAACCCAAACACACTATATAATGCTGTAAGGGGAAAAATAAAAAAATGTGAGAAAATATTGAAACCTTCAGGATGTGTTCTATGAGCTATACGTAATGCTGCAGGATGGGTATGTATCCCATCTGCAATTATACCATAATGGACAATTCTTCCAGGAGGAATTTGATCAGATGTTAGGAGCCCAACCAATCCTGGGTCTCTATGATGAAACTATAAATAGAAATTTGTCACTTAAATTGTGTTTTTGCTTTGCTTATGAAACAAAAAGGCATTTCTCTATTTTAGTTAATTACTGGTAACATTGCATTAAAGAGATGGGTAATAAAGGAAGCTCCACTTTTCACAGCCTCTTCACCTTCATGTTGATTTGCTATAGAATGTCCTAAAATATTTATACATAGAATAATAAATTATTTGAAGTAGTAACGTTGAAATAATTGTGCCTTACCAAGAGAAACTTTAATGCCTCTTTTACATAATTCTGCAATTACATTTAATGCATTAGGAAGTTCTGGTGCCAATGTGACAAGGCACACATTTTCTAAAGTTCCATACATATCAATTAGTGATTTGAAACCCTAGAATGCACATTAAGAATGGTAATTTAAAAAAATTATGAATACAAATAATCGATGTGTATAAACATTATACAAATTTGTAGTAATAATAATAAGTAATTACACTATTATGTTTTACATGTTTACTGATGCATTTTAAATATTGAAAAGACTTGCTTTTTCAAACTGTTTTATATGATTTTCTGCATGAGCTCCCTTTTTGTTTGGACTAATAAATGGTCCCTCTAAATGGATGCCTAATACAGATGCACCATGTTTTCCACCTTTTGTTTTCTTAATATTTGGCATTATTTTAAGATATGTTTCATTGGGTGATGTGACCAGAGTTGGACAAAATGATGTTACACCAAATTCCAATAATTTCTTAGCTACTTTATTAATACCTTCTTGTACATTATCAACATTGTGTGTAAAATCTATACCAAAACCACCTAGTAAATAAAACAAGATGTATAGACCATTTACAATTACAATTACATTTATAATTTATAGTATTTACAATCAAACTTTTGCACAAGCCAAAATACTTATTGCATAAATACTTTGAAATACAAAACTTTTCTCAAAATTAATACATTCTTATACATCAGACACAATATTATTGTTTACAATATATAACTTTATTTACATCAATATTTATACTGATAACAAAATAATAGTTATTATTTGATAATAATAACAATTCTACAAATTTAATTATGCGAATATAAAAAAAGTATTAATAAAACAAACACTGTATACTTGCGTTAAGTACCATTAATCTGAAGATCAATATACCCAGGTGAAATTAACGCTTCTTTACAATCGATCCTAACATTCGGTTTAACTTTTTCAACATAAAAGATTTTTTCCGAATTGACTACTTTCCCATCGCGAACCCATAGATCCTCCTTTAAGATCTTACCGTCACGTAAAATACAACAATTATAAAACTGTTTCAAAATTTGTTGATTTTCCTGAGACATGTCGAGAATTACAGTAAATTATTCGCGTCAAAATACACAAAACTCTTTATTAAAAGAAAAGAAAAAAAGACCTATCAATGTAATTTAATCTCTTGCATTATCAATCACGAGCAAAATTATCATATCGTAAAAGAACAAAGCCTAGCAAATGGCATTGACCTCTAAATTATCACCACTCTTCAAAGATGTCGCTAGACGTAACCCCCACGCATTTTTTTTTTCATTGGAAAAATATAAAAAAGCGTCGATACGACAATCAAATTTTATATCTGTTTACGATTGATACTCTAAAATACTATTTTTTGGAATTTATTATGTCATTGATAAAAACTATTTTTAATTTAAAATTTATCACAGACGCAGTAAAATTGATTATCATACTCAATAAAAATGTATCTTAAAATGTTTTTTTTTGTCGAAGTTAGCTTTCTCTGGTGCATTTAAACAATTATTTACGAGCCCGGGCGCAGTACGCTTTTGCAACTGTAATTTCTATAAAAAAAATTGTAAAAAATATATTTTCGAATTATTTATATTAGTACTTACCTCGTCAAATTTATCAGGCTTATTTAACTTATATCTTACGTACAATGCAATTATGACACACAAAACATAATAAAATTGATCATAAAGGTAACACAGACAAATGTGGTCGATTTCAAAATCCAATATAATTCAAATCCATAACAAATTAGAGTGAAAACAATTTAGTATAAAATTGGTCTAAAAAATGATGCGAATTTATGCAACTCAAGGAAAATTCTAAGAACCTAAAGGAAATGAACGATTAAAAAAAAAAGAGGGGGGGAGTGAGGAAAGGAGGAAATGGCACTACAGTTCATCAATACAGCAAGAAGTAACAAAGCGCTGT